ATGAAAGTGAAGGATGATCGACAATCCGATGATGACCAATTTTCTTTTTTGATGTTCTACGAAGTTTCAAGGTTAAGCTAAATGCCGTAGTTTGATTTTAAACAATTTTTTATTGCCCAGTATGGGCCAAGTGCATAATTCCTCTCTTAATGTTATCCCCTTAATTCTGTATTGTAGATTAGTTCAGTTTCAGATGGCGAGTCGTCGACTACTACCTGTTACGAGTAATACTGCAGTTGCGATTCCTCATTACTCGAGATCTGGTGCATCGAACTGCGGAGTTGGCACGCCTTTTCGGTATTCAGTTCTTTGAAGTACTGAGTCGAGGATCTCAGTTTCGCGTTGAGTCGATGCTACTGCGCATGGCCAAAGAACAACGCTTTCTTCTCTTTTCGCCCAGCGTCCGGCAACGTAGTCGGTAAGTATCGTATTTCGAAAAGATATACATTAATTCACCTTCCTGATTACTGTTGCAGAATGGCGGCTCCCGAGTGCCTGCCTCTCGTGATGGAACCACAGTCGCAGTTTTACGTTGACCCTGTCGTCGTTCTTGACTTCCAGGCTCTTTACCCGTCCATTTGCATCGCCTACAACTACTGTTACTCTACCTGTTTGGGGAAAGTGTGTTCCCTGAACGAGTAAGCTTTACATTATGACATTGACTGATTTGTAAAAAGTATTTAGTGTCATGATTTAAGAAGCGAGCGAATTAACGTATGTAGATGGTTCTGTACATAATGCAGATATTTTGTTGTATGGCTATTAAGAGCTGGGAGAATTTTTCTTACAAAGCCACTGACCTATTTGAAGCACATTTTTGTGATTGCTTCAATTCATCGTGTAATATTTTGTCTTCTCATTAACGGTTGTGGCAAGAGACGATCCGAGATTGCATGAATTTAGGGCGACATTTAAATGGCACGTCCTATAGGTTTAGATATTAAGCGAGAAATTTGTCACATGGGCAGTAATTAATTAAGAGACTTTCTATTCCAACTTCGATATTTAAAGTAGCCATGTATTTAGTGTGCCTTAATCGAGCACATCCATGATAGAAATTGTTTTGATAATGCTCAACTTCGAATTCCTGATAGCCTTTTCCTGAAACCTGTTAAGAAGGGAGAACCATGCTTAAGAAAGACTTTGAATGGCTTCATGTCTTGAGAGATCTCTTTCAGCTGAGCAGTCGCATTCATGTTTTTTATATGTAGTAACTTGCACAGAAAGGTATCGTTTATTGTTGCCAAACCAAGATCGGTGAAGTTCATTCTTCTTCATGGTTGTGGTGACCCTGGTTTTTCTCCCAATCGCAAAGCAGCAGGCTAGCGATGCCCCGTGGTGACTGCGAGGCTGATCTTAGTGAGCTACTTTTGCCTATATGAAGAATATTGTGACTAAAATTTCCTAGGAAAGAACAGCGGGTCAGGACATCAGCCACGAAGATCCTCAAAAATATGATGAAATCTCTGAAAAAAACATCGTGAAATCCCATTATTCAGTCATTTTTGTAAGCATTTACCACATATACCTAGATTGCTAGGTCGGTATAGTGTCGAACTCAGTACTGATAAGTCCCTCATCCTTCTGATAGATCGCGGTCGGTGTCACTCATCCTTCTTCCCTCCAAGGTCCTGGCTGATGACAGAGAAACGGAGATCAGCACCACAACGTTAACATAGCGTGAGGATGGTCGCCAAAACGGCCCCGTCATAAAAGTGAAGAACGTCTGATATTCCAACGTTGACAAACTTTCTTTTTAATTTCTCAGTATGCGCTTGATAATGCAGTTGTGTTTTGTTTTATGCAGTTAGCTAACTCGGCTGTTATGTAAAGTTAATGCAGGGGTATTCAATGACTGCATGGTAGCTCGTTCGCTGTGCATATAACTCTGGTTGGTAGAGGACGGGGCTAGTTGGAAGTTTATGGTTTAGAATCCTGGCAGTCACTCGTCTTCTTTCCGTTCGAGGTAGATAAGCTAGTGCAATTCTGAGGGAGGGACACTGGAGACTTCATGCTTTTGTGGCTACTGTTTTGTTGTTGATACTGTTTTTATAAAATAAGAGACTCCTGACCAATGGCGTCATAACAGAAACAGCGTTTATCATGAGAGCGAGGGAAAAGATGACCAGCAGCCGTAATGGGAGTTTGTGCAAACTTTCTTTTTACCATTTATCTGACTCTGTCGTTTGTGACTTGATGTAAAATATATCACGCTTAGTAATATACGTATTGATAACTTAAAATTGAACCGTCTATGAATTCTTTCAGACCAAATGGACAGCATTTGACTTTGTGCATTCAGGCAAATTTAATTTGATTGGCAGATGAGTGATAAAATGAGAGATAATGAGGTTTTCATTAATTTGTTCATGCGTTGGTATATTCCTCTGAAAACGGAAAAACTTATCAAAATAGTTTATTTATATACAACGTAAACAAATAAATTGGTCAATCGGGTGATAGATTGACAAAACCATATTTTTGACTCCAGATGCCACATCAGCTGCGAAACACAGCCACTTGCAGCTACTGTAAAGAA